TATATATATAAATATATATATAAATATATGCTAAAGATTTAGCTAGACAGATTGCATGGCCGCTAACGGTCAGTAAAAGTATCCACACCGACCTCGACGCACATACATATACCGTTAACGCCAATGAGAGTTCTGTATATACACTGTGCACACGCACGAAGTCCCTGGTATAGGTCAACACAAACACTCACAGGCTGATGAAGGCGTAGTGAATAGTGAACCGGACGCCTCTGGCAACATATTAAAGGCGGCGGCTGTAGATCGGCCCATGATCAAAGACGGAGAAACCATACGAGGACTAATCCATGACCACCACTCACTACACTCCGAGCCCACGACGAGTATAAATGGCCACGGATACGCAGGCACACACCATAAGTACATGCAAGACATTCACAGATACACACACACACACGGCTTCACATGTATGTTTTTACATGTACACACAAACGTCTCCACGGGCATTCAATGATATGTTTACGTACCGTCGGAGGTGTGTGCACATCGTATCTGCGAACTCACACGTTCGAGTCCGCTCTCACTGACACGCATAGGCTCACCAAGCAACCACCCGCTCATACATAAGTGTGGAACAAGCTCGTTGAGACCGGTGGTATACGGCCAAGGCCCCTCGAACGTATGAAGAATCACACACAGGTGTATATACCCGTATACGTAACACAATCACAATCACAACCACAACCATAGACATACACACACGACTGGGCCGTACGTGGGTATGGGAACGTACCTGCTCGAGCTTATCTAGAAAGGTTTGAAAGGATGTACGCACATCACTGAACGGGCTTTGCCGCGAGAGACGCAGGACAACAGGTAGGTGCTTAATCAGCTGCGATTCGTAGTTGTCTAAACCTTGGTTCTGGATTGGAAGAGGGGAGATGACATGCGAGAAATTAGTAAAAAAGGTGTATGAATCTAAGGTAGATTTGTATATATATGTATGTATATGTATATGTATACATATATATATATATATATATATATATATATATATATATATATATATATATATATATATATATATATATATATATATATATATATATATATATATATATATATATATATATATATATATATATATATATATATATATATATATATATATATATATATA